TGATTTGTATATTGATTCATCGCAAACGATACAGGCTTCCTGCTGATGATTTGAATCAAGAATTGCTTGTTTTGTTGTTGTTAATATTTCTTCTATAGCTTCATTTGAACTAGCAACATGTGTGATCGGACAACCGTAAACAAAGGTTGAGCGTGGTATCGATTCTTGAGGAAGAATATATTTGGAGAAATATCCTGATAACAATGGCATTGGTTGTAAAGATGTAGCTAAATTTGTAAAGGTTAATCCATGTAAAAATAATTCCGGCACATAAATTAAAGTAGTTGATCTTGATACTGTTATTGGATTATTACAACTGATTGATGAGTTATTATCATTAGTATGTATATTTTGATCATTTGTTTGTAGTCCAAGCGTTATAGTTACACTTTTTGTGTTATTATTCTGGTCACTTAAACGAAAGCGACGCTTTCTCGATCTTTTATACTGTTTAGGTTCCACTAGATTACTATCAATGGTAACCGTGTTGTCAACATGTACATCACATTGAATATATAATGTGTTCACATAATGGAGACTACCTTTTCCATCTAGGCTGTTTGTGTTTAAATCACAGTTATCAACTACTTTTACTACAAAATTGTTTGGATTTACGCCTACAAGTAAAACAACACAAAAATCAAGGTGATCTTCCTTACCGCTTTCTGCTTGGGTTCTCTTTATATAATGGCTCAGACTATAATATCACATTCGTGAATTGCAATCTATGTCAAAACCTTAGGTGGAGCTACAAAGTATTCTTTCCCTTCAGGTTCAAACCTATTTTGAAGGCAGACTTTTTTAAAGATTCCTTTTCGATCGCGCAATTGAAATCTGTTTTGGCTTGTAGGTTGGCGTGTTTACATACACAATGCAGCCTCTTTGACAGAATGGAAGTTATCACGATCTACACCATTATTCCGCGTAGGAGTATAGCTTTTTGACTATTACCGCTCGGACCTCAAAGATTTACTATTTTTTTAATTTGCGAAATTTTTTCTTGTGTTGAGTTAAAAAGTAGAATTTTTTACAATACAGACAGGGAGAGTAGAATAGTATTCTTCAAAATAAAATACTAATTGTCCACGAGGGGCGATTAATCT